GACTTTTCGGAAACTGACCCTGGGTCTTTCTGATCCTAGTACATCACCACAACTGATCGCCACAATTTATGAAGCATATTGATCTTTTAGGTGTCCCTGTATGTGAGATAATGGCAATTTCTAATGATTTCACTATGATCAGATCAGGTCCTTGCACATGCATTTAAAATGAGTTTGTCTGAATCTTGCAGATGCCAAATCTATTTCTTATTTCCTGTCCAAATTGGCACTTAATTTAATGTTCATTTTTGAACACTATCCTGTCCCTCTCTCTAGGCACTTAGTTTCACTTTCAAGTACCCTTGTCAAAGGAGGCTGCACTTTGAATATTTATTATGCAAACTGTTTACACTCACTCGAACATAATAAATAACCAACTGAGCAGGGGATTTCTCCATTCCTGTTCAGCATAGGCCACCCAAGATCCTTCAATAATAATTGAAATCTTTGTTTGGAGAAGCCTTCATCTAGCAGACCTTAATGAATCTTTGTGGTTCTTCAGCTTTGCAGTGAAGATTTGTTTACAGAAACACCAATTCTGCATAAGACCCAAATCTCAAATCACTATAACCACTCCTGTACCTTCAGAGCCAAGATGCACACTGTGATTCAGAACTAAGGTCCATAGCAGATGCACAGTATGTGATATAACCCTATTGAAAAGAGAGAGCCATGAACCAAATAACTCTCATTTCAAGACCCTGATGATGTTTCTGAAAATGTAGGAATAAAAGGAACAAGTATAAAACTTTTTCACTCACAGTCTACCTGTCACTAGTGGAACACCACTTTCTCTTCCTTTTTAGCTTATTTTTATTAATTTTTAGCACAAACAAATTTATAAGCAAAGTAATATACAAGCAAAGATAAGAAACAGAAGAAAGAAAAAGAGGGGAGAAAGAAGAAAATGACATACAGCTAATACAAAGTATGGTTCTGATCTCCCTGCCCAACCCTGACTGTACTCTCTCTCTCATATATATATATATATATATATATATATATATATATATTCCTACCATTACAGATCCAACTAATTGATCCTATTAAAATAACTAATAGTTATAACTACAGATTATTACATCATTAGATTTCTTACTGCTCAAAAAGACCATAAATGGGTCCAATCATTCAAAATGTCAATTGGCTTATCTTTTAGAATCCATGGTAATTGGGTCATTTGGGCTAACTCAGCAACCTTAACAATTCAATCTTCCATTGTTGGGACTTCGAATCCAAGTTACCAAGTTTGAGCAAACTACTTTGGACTACTTAGAACAAACTCCATAACACCACATTCTAGTTACCTAGTGGAAGAGCTCCCCAGTCATCTCAAGGAGATTGCATTGCAATTTGGGTTTTCTCCTGTAGGAGTTTCCCCATCACATCACTAGATGTGAGCCTCATATGACCAATATTTGCCTTGAAGCTAATATCTTTGCATCCAGGAACTGATTTTTAATGAAAATGAAATGTTCTTGTGAAGGTTCACCAATGTTTCCAATACAGGAAAAGTGTCTCTTATTTGTTGTTGATGCCTTCACATCAATCTCGACCCATGGTTACCCTAAGGATGAGACATCTCCAGGCCCCCCTGTCCTCTACTGCTCTGCCCAGCTCCTGCAAACTCTTATTTGTGGTCTTTAATAAAGTAGGCTCCATCTAGCACATGGCCTTCCTCTCCTTCTACTTCCCTCCACCTTTCCTAACTTTATTGTCTTTTCCAAGGATTCATACCTTCTCATGATGTGTCCAAAGTACGACAGCCTAGGTCTTGTCATCTTGCCTTCTAGGGATATCTCTGGCTTGATCTGCTCTAGGACTCTTTTGTTTGTCCTTTTGGCTGACACCTTTGCTTTTTGGTGGTTGATTGTACACAAACTTTGTTTAATTAACAAAATTATTAAAAATACTGAGTATAAAATTACCTAGGCTATGTGGATAAGGTGTATATGAAACATAAACAAATGTCATGTGCCCCATCTCTTGTGTTCCAGCTCTGAGATATCTCATTATGCATATACAAATATTCCAAAATCTGAAAACCTCCAAATTCTGGTCCCAAGCATTTCAAATGATGGATACTCAACCTGTATTAACTATTTCTTGTTGGAGGTGAAATATTTTAGCTCAAGAAAGTATTACTTCTATAAGCAACCTCATCCAACTAAACCATAAATTTAGTTGTCTCATCCAACTAAACCATAAATTCTCTCTCTCTCTCTCTCTCTCTCTCTCTCTCTCTCTCTCTCAGTTTTATTTGGCTAGCACAACCCTGGTGGCAATGTCAAGCAATGGAAACGCACTAGATGTGACAGACAATATGGAGCAACCTCTCTGCACTTTGATGCCATCCTTGTCTATTTGACCCTCATACATTCATGCTTGCGGGAGTAAGTGACTTCATATGGGGCAGTGAACAAAAGCTATATTCAGCTATTTTACAGTTCTATTCTAGTTCTTCAGATCCACTTCCTGACTGAAATCCAATAATCATGGACCAGAATGGGGTTTAAACTGAATGTCAATGGGTATGCATAGCATAGGCTGTGTCTACACTGAAGAATTAATGCAACTGGTACCAGTTTAATTGCCATGGCTCCGTGCTATGGTACTCTGGGATTTGTAGCTTTATGAGATGTTTAGCTTTTTCTGTCAGAGAGCTCTGATGCTGTAACAAACTACACATCCCTGGATTCTATAGGATGGAGCCATGACTGTTAAAGTGGTGTCAAGCTGCATTAATTCTGCAGTGTGGCAGCAGACATGCCCTCATGCTCAGTACCTAATTCCACCACCTAACTGGAGTGCGAAGGGACCATTTTCACAGATTGCAAAGCTTTGCTTTCATTGTAAATCACCACTAAAGTATATATTATAGCTAGAGGAGATTATATATATTTTTAAAGTATTTATCCATTTCTAGTTCTGCAGCCAGCAAATAACCATCTTGATAAATTGCCCTGAGCATTAGTTAGGTTCATGCTGTCCCACTGGTTTTCATGTTTCAAGCCAAATTAAGACATCTGAAATAGATGGCTATAATTACTTCTTCAAGCAATCACTACAGGTGGCTCTCTTCTCCCCTCCTCTACCAAGACATACACTCGGGTTGAACAAATATCTCTCAACCAGAGTTGCCACTCAGTGTTTTTCCCCCAAAGATAAATGTGAAGAGAAGCTGTTTCATATGCTCCTGTTTTATGCATATGCAACAGGAAAATTTGTATCATTACAAAGATACAAAAGGGGAATTAAATGTGTGATCCAACATGGATAGGTCCAGAGTACCAAACTTGTATCACATTAAAATCACCCTACAGAAGGAGAATACTTTTGTTTCCCTGAGCTCAGTAGGTGGCAGCAATAGGTCATCTCTAAGGGTTTGCTTCAGATTCCGATTAATACTCCATGCCAAGCCAAATCAATCAGATTTCAGAGCTGTCCCAATTAAAACAGGCCAAGATCCTGTAATTCTGCTGGCATGATTACAACAATAGAGAATGCACTCTAGAAATAATGCAGTTTGACACCACTTTCAGAGCTGTTTGTTGTTGTTGTTGTTGTTGTGTGTGCCTTCAAGTCATTGCTGACTGATGGCAACTCTAAGGTGACCCTATCATGGGGCTTCCTTGGCAAGTTTCCTTAGAGGAGGTTTGCCATTGCCATCCTCTGAGGCTGTGAAAGTGTGACTTCCCCAAGATCACCCAGTGAGTTTACATGGCTGAGCTGGGATTTGAACCCTGGTCTCCAGAGTCGTAATCTAATGCTCAAACCACTATGCCATATTGGGTCTCTTTCATGGCTGCAGCGCCATCCAACTTTGGAATCATGGGATTTTTTAATTTTACAAAGTCTTTAGCCTTCTCTGCCAAAGAAAGCTGGTGCATCACCAACCTACAAATCCTAGAATTCTGTGGGATGGAGCCATGGCCATTAAATTGGTGTCAACCTGCATTATTTCCACAGTGTAGATCAGGGGTAGGCAACCTTTATCCTTTAAGGGCCAAGGGACTTCAGCTCCCAGAAGCCTCAGCCATGTTGACCAATAGTCCCATGTTGGCCAATAGCTCCGGGGATTCTGGGAGCTGAAGTCCCTCGGCCCTTAAAGGGGAAAGGTTGCCTACCCCTGGTGTAGATGCACCAAAGTAAGCAGCGATAAAAGGGAGAAATAAGACTATTGCAGCAACAGGAGTGGGGAGAGGAAAAAAATGTCAGTGGTGATGACTGGAGGACAAAACTGTTGGCTCTGATTAAGCCACCAGTTTCTCACAAACCTGGCAGTGTTCACAGAGTCAAAGCATTATAAGAAGGGTGGCTTGTACAATTGTCCATGCCATGGGGAAAGGAATTGTCCCACCTCTCCTTTAGTATTTTGGCTCTATCAACCCCTCCTCCCAGCATTTAAGAAATAAGTGGCTCCAAGTTGGCTGCTTTTTCCTCTGATCATCATCCTCACCTCCCTGCACAAGTGCTAAAAATAATGCCAGTTGTGTAAAAGGTCATTGTGAAAAACAGTGTGCAGCTAAAAGGACCCAGCCTCCTAAGTGCAATGAATCCAAACCTGAACAAGCCTCAAACAATTGGATTCAGAGAGATACAGATCCTAGATCCAGCACTGTGTAAATATCTGCTAATGGAGTTGCATTGCACAACCACTACAATGAATACCACCACCACACAATGTAGAGTGGGCTTTTGGTATCTGCTGGGAATTGGTTCCAGCTCCTCCCTGCCATTGATACCAAAATCCATGGATGCTCAAGTCCTGTTAAATACAATGACATTATAAATTGGTGTCTCTTCTATAAAATAACAAAATCAAGGTTTGCTTTTGGAATTTAGATAGGGTTTTTTTAAATATTTTCAAGCCATGGATGGTAGAATCTGTGGATAAAGAATCTGTGGATATGTAGGGCTGACTCTATGCAGATCAATGGTTAGTGTCCATAACTGACAAGCCATTGTGCAATTACACTGCACAATACACAAAGGCAATGCACAGAAGAAATGCACCATCACATGTTAATCTGTGCAATTTAATGTTTCACCACATTCACAATAGGTCCACATGCACACCTCTGCTTATACCACCATCAACTGGGTATGGCCAATGAGCTTTACTGGAAAATATCACTTCTTGTGCACAGCACAACGTACGCCTGTATATGTCACTAACATTGTGCCTCCAAAGATGTATACACTTCTCCCCAAACTTTCTGTCTAAGGATAGATATTCTGGGGAAGGAGAGGAGGAACATGCATTGAAGAAAACATGGTTTAGTATGAGAATTCAAAAGGAATTGCCCCCCCCCCTCCATCTCTGGTGTTGGATGTGTTTCTTTTCTTCTTCTGCCTATAAATGCTTGCCACAAGAAAAGTGCACAAATTAAAGAAAGTGGAGACATTTAGACACAGGTGAAGCCATGCTGTATAGGTCTGACCCACCTTCTAATGAAAGCATTTGAAAGATATTTCTCCTTGACATTTTGAAAATGAAACTCAATGAATTGTGCAGAAGGGGGAAGACAATGTATTCATTCATCCCAGCTTTAAAAGTGCAGGAGGTCTTTTCCGTAACGCAGGAACAGAACCCCATTCAAATCAATCTCAATGTCAATTAGGGAGAATTTCTATAAAACAATCTATAACTAGTACTTCACTCCTGTTCAACTTTCCAAAATAGGAAGTTTTGTATTCCCATTAGGCCAGGGAAACAATGCTACATATGTGGCTCCTTTGCAAGAAGGTGGCAGGATTTTGGAAAGAAGCATTGCAATTTTGTTCTACTATGCTGACGCTAAAAGTATGCTATTGTGAAGCTCCCATAATTCATAATTTTGAGGACCAAACTCTTGCTTAAACCATAAAGATTCAATCTCTCTCCTCTTTATAGCATTAAGGATGCCCATTGCCATACAATGGAAATTCTCCCCCACCTGTCTCTTTCCAATCTTGGATGACAAAAAGTATGGTCCATTGCAATCACGAAAGACTTATCAGATGAGAACCGCTAAAGGTCAAATAAAAAGTTAGAAACTTGCTTATGTGTGAGTCCTGTTTGTTACCTTTGCAAATGTTGAAACCTCCCAATGTAGACCCCACTGAAACAAAAAATCTTATGAATTTGCCCTTTTTTAATTACCCTATGTGGAATTTGCATTTCCATGTGAAAAGTTACTTTATGGTGACTTACATTTCCAATTGCAACAGCCTTTGGTCACTGGTAATGTGGTGTCATTCTCCAATTAATTGTTTGTTCTATTCATTCTTCCTTTTGTTTATGGGCTTTATTTTCTATTTTGTTCTTTCATTGTTGCTTTCTTAATCATTCATGTTTATCTTTATTGTATTTGTAATTTATATGCAATCTGCAATTTGTTTCAACAATATTGTCTATTATTTTATAAAATAAAATTGACAGAACCACCATACACATCTTCTTAGATGTAAATCCTACTTAGAACAAATACTCCTAATTACAGGTATCAGAATGTATTTCCATCACACCATTATAGTAGTTTGACTTCACCCTACACAATCCCAGGACTAGTACTTTGGTGAGACACTTATTCTCTGCTAGAGTGCTCTAGTGCTTTCATTCAGGATAATGGATTATAACAGTGTTTTCCAGACTTTGGTCCTTCAAATGATTTGGACATCAACTCTCAGAAGTCCCAGCCAATATGGCCTGTGCATAGGAATTCTGGAATTTGAAGTCCCAAACATCTAGAGGACCAAAAACTGAGGATCACTGGACTTCTCCAGCAGATATTTATCTACCTAACCAACAACAAATCCCAGGATTTTGTAGGAATTTGCAATACCAGTTAAAGTTGTATCAAACTACAAAGGACAGTGCAAATACAGTTTCAGATCCCCTGTCCAAATTTTGCATTTTGAACATGACCACAGCATCTATCTGACAACCTACCCACACCTATCTGTTTGTGCATTATACTTACTTTTCTTTCCTTTTGAGGAAAGCTAGATGAGAAAGTGGGTGAAATATAAAGTTCATTATCATCTTAAAATCATAATAGTAACCAGGTAGTCAGACATTGGTATAACAAACACTACTACTTTTTAGAAACAACTTAAGCAATGAAGATTTTGTTGATTTCCATTTCCATTTCATCCAGACTGGGTGCAGGTGGGGGCTTCCAAAATAGATAGTATTTTTAAGGACCATGAATCATCCATGTAGCCCCAGTGTACTGTGGAGATAACTCTCAATGATGCTATTAAGCATCGTTCAAAACATCACACTCAGTGGGTGAGTCATAAGAAGAAGAGTGAAGTGTCTCTGCACCATTGGCTTTTAATAAGTGTGCCGCACATATGACATTCTTGCTGGAGGTGACAGCTTACACTCAATATGCATTTGTTTGCATAGTTAGTAGATGGAGGATGGAAACCTGTTGGTGACATGTACAGGCGTAATGCAAAATGACACATTATTGGTCATTGGAGAACGAGGTAGCTACTATCTCCTTTACACAACAATAGCTTTACTGCTAGAGGTTCCAAAGGATACTTTGTCTTCAGGCATCTAGCTTTCATAACTTGCCCTGGCCATTAAATGGCTGGAGGGAAGCAGAAGCAGCAAAGACCTAGGTCTACTGCATGGGGAAAGTTGGGCTGCTGACACATTCCAGAATTAATGCAGTCGGACACCACTTTAACTTCCATGGCTCAATGCTATGGGATCTTGGGATTTGTAGTTCGTTTTGACACCAGAACTCTCTGGCAAAAAAGCTAAATATCTCACAAAACTACAAATCCCAGGATTCCATAGCACTATGCCATGGCAGTTAAAGCAGTGTCAAACTGAATTAATTTTGCAGTGTAGATGCAGCCAGGGAGGGAGTGGAGGTCCATTGGATGGAATATGATAATCCAGCAGCTAACTCCATGTATGATCTTGACCACAGAGATTATGCCTTTCAGCTTTGCTAGACAGTGCTTTGGCTACACATCCTATGCTCTCCTTCCAGGTACTCTTAGGGTTGCTAAGAGTATTTTCTTTTCTCTCAATCTTCTGGCATTTTTTTCCAAAAATTGGTGGGAGGGAGAGAGCTTGTTAGTTAGAACTAGGACTTCTATCTGAATGCTTATCTAAATAAAGACCATTTATTCTCTACTTAAACAAGAAAGCAAACTCTGCATGATTATATTTCAGGGAAAGCCAGTTCTTAAATCAGCATGATATTCAGAAGGGACTGAATCTATGTACACACAGCATCCAAAGCAGAAGGCTAACAGTATTTAGCTCCATTTTACCAAAAATAACAACATGTTGTGGAGGTTACTGAGATTCCAGGTGTATCTAAGTTGCCTTGCTATCCGGTAACACTGTCATGGCTCCATCCTATGGAATCATGGGATTTGTAGTTTGTTGTGGCACCAGAGGTCTCTGCCAGAGAAGGCTAAAAGTTTCACAAAACTACACATCCTGGAATTTCATAGCAATGAGCCATGTCACTTAAAGTGGTATCAAACTGCATTAATTCTGTCTTTTAGATGTAGCCAAGTCTCCAGAAATTAGTGGAGCTTCCTTCTGAGTAAAGCCTTGAAATCATAGCTCAAGGACAGTTTTCCTTTCTTCAAAGTCATGATCCATGCTCCTTATCCTCCGTGGAGGTGATGTACGTGTCGATTGTATCTTGTAGCCTCTTGGACAATGGCATTAGCCTAGTTCTTATTGCATTATTGGATGAGTGTCTCTCTGCTGTGTGGGATCAAGTCACAGTCTTGCATCTGGTTTACTAAATGGTGAACAGCCTTTGTTAT